GTTCTTTCAGATGTGTTCTCCAAAAAGTAAGATATTCATCGCAATTTTTGATATTTTCAAAAAGCAAGATATTCATCGCAAACTTTCTATTACATACATCCATTACGTGTTAATACTATAGAGACATTTTTCATTTTGTCATATTTTTCTGAAATCTGCTAGAATTGTGGGTCTATATATCTTACCTTCAGATCCTTCTAAAATTTCCAAGCTGCAATGTCTAAAATCCTACAGAAAAATTACCCCTACCAATTGTGTGTAACAACAAAAAGGCAAAAATATTTGGGGGGGGGGAAATTAGAAGGAAAAAGTGTAAAATTAACTTTATAAGGAAAATTGATGCATATTCTGAGACAATTACATGAAAAAATCTCTTACCATAAAAACATTAAAAATAAGACATTTTTAATTAATTATTACATAGCTGTTTTGCTTTTGCCACAAACGTTTTAGTAAATTGTGCTTTACAGCATTATACCTAGTTTATTTTCAGGTTCCAAATATTTTATAATAAGTGGCCAACTTTATAATATGACAGCGAAAAATTAAAATGTTATATTTTAATATTATTTTTTAAATTTCATTTCAACATATTACCATTATTTTAATGAAATTTATCAATGTTACAATTTTTAAAAAAGGATTGTCAAAAAATTTCCAGATCTCGGAATTAAAAATTTTCTATAGAAACTGATCTTAAAATCGCTAAAATGTTGATAAGTCGCCAAATTTAGAAACATTTAATAAAAGAATTCACATCTCCAAAAGCGAAAAATTAAGAGCACTTTATTGGAAAAAATGAAATGATTTTGAAATGCTTTATGTTTCACTTGCTGCTCGGAAACTAGAGTATCCTAGTATTTACATTAGAAATAGGAACAAATTATAACCCATTCAAAAGATAACATTCAAAGATATTTATCAGTGAATCGCCACAATACCTCCAAAATGTTAATTCACGCTCAAAATGGCAGTCGTAAAAACAGACAGAAACTTCAGGTGATTAAAATTAAGAGCTCTCTGTCGATTTTTGCCGAAATTAAGGACTTTTAAGGACCAAAAATTGATTAAAAAAAACCTAAGGACTCTTAAGAGACCATACGAACCCTGACTGATGAAGATCCTGACAAATACATCTTAACTTGTAAGCACAGACTGTCCTGAGTTTTTCTTAAATATACAAGTCTCATATGAAAATTCGTAAATTCCTGATCCTATTTTTTACGGCAAAACCCGTGAAATAAAATTCTTTCTGCATGTGAAAGAAATGTCCCTTGAGATTTAAACATTCAAAACAAAAATATGCTGGACATCAACGATTAAAAGAATGCTTTTAAAATTAGTATTCTTGTTTAAACTGAATATTGTAAGCCTTCTCTTCAGATTTAGATCCATGTATGGTTCAAAGAATCTTTCTTCAGAGTTTTAAATATGAATTATTCGATAGATCAAAGATTTTCTTTGCTAGAAATAACTACTGATAACTAAATATACAGATTACTGAATAAAAAGAAAGAAACTTAATCCTTAGTCTTTTCATTATCTGTGAAAAATGTCTACCAAACACGTTAATGGCATAATTACACACACCATTAGCAGATGGCCCATTTTCAAATTTTGCTTACATATGCTGTCTCGGAAGGAAAGAAAGAAAATTCACAATAAATTCATATTTAAAGTTTAATTTGAGCAATGCATTGCATAAAATGACTATAAATATATTTCTGCAATTTAAAATATTTAAAAAAATTGAAAGTTTTTAGATAAAAATTTAGCAAATCAATAAAAATAATTTATCTTCCACTTCATGTCAAGTCCGTTCGTTATGTTGAGATTATTTTACCCAATTTGTTTGTAAATCTGCCTAAAGTGGGCAGTACATATTCAAAGTAGTCAAACTTAGCTTGACTAGTTTATCTATAATTAAGACACAATAACACGCCGAATAAATACTAATTCAGAAGTCAAACAACAAAAATCAGCGTTATATTTACAAAATTTTCACAGGACTAGTTTCGATGGTTTTACCGAACCATCATCTTCAGCTGCAAAACCGCAAATGTATGTAAATATAACGTAAATATAACGCTGATTTTTGTTGTTTGACTTCTGAATTAGTTTATCTATGTCACTGAATATGTACTGCCCCTTCTAGACAGATTTACAAACTAATTTGGGATAAAATAATCTCAAGGTAATGAATGGACTTGACATGAAGTGGGAGACAAATGATTTTTCTATTATTTATTTGTTAAAGGAAAAAACTTCTGTGATTAATTTTTATCGTGAATATAACACAATAATAGTTCAGATTTAAAATAATTAAATTTCTTTATTTAAAAAAATAAATTAGGTTACAAAACAAAGAGGTTGAATAACATGAAACTTGAAAGGGACAGGCATTTTTGCCTACTATCACACATTTTAAGATTTCAGTTGATTTTTTATATTTTTAATTGCAGAAATATATTTATAGTCATCTTTATGCAATGCATTGCTCAAATTAAACTTCTAAACATAATTTATCTTAAATTTTCTTTCTTTCTTCTGGGACAGCATATGTAAGCAAAATTTGAAAATGGGCCAGAAAGATTATAAAAGATAAAAAGTTAAATGCATTTATTGGTATGGTACTTACTATCTCTGAATGAGATAAAAAGTTTTTCAAAGACAACACAAAATTTTCAACTAAATAACAAATTTTTTGATTTTACATAAAAGAGTATTAATCCCTGTTTTCATATTTCTCAATAGGAAAATATATTGATTAAATATAAACATTCCAGTTCCCTCTCCCCTTGCACGAGATCGGAAGAAGAACTAAATCAAGAGAAGAGTTCTGATGAAAATCATACTTACAATAATATATCATATTCTTAGAAAACCTTACAGGGAATTAAAAATCTAATGAGTACACAGAATCAGAAAATCTTTCATTAAGTGATTTGGAGGAACGAAAGATGGAGGAAAATGCTCATTTACAGTCAAGTAAAGGATTTCTAAAGCCTCAAATTTGAATTACAGTTATATTAATTCACGGAAATAAAAACAATAGCTATATTCATTCATGGAAGTAAAATTATTTAGAACTTAAACTCACAAGTTGTTGTAGTCAGAATTAGTAAGAAGAAATATAACTGTATTATTACAAGAACCAAAGACATACTAAATGAACTAAATTTTTAAATGTATAAAATTTAAAAAGAATAATATTTAACAGTATTGTGCTAATTCCTGTTGTTAAATTTTACCCTTATTGTATTGCAAGAACCAATTTTTGAGTACATTTTGCAAATGTTTTGATATAATTTCCTAAACCTTTTATAACATCATAAAAAATCATTAGAACAATAACAACTGTCACATATTCCACACAGTTAAAACAAAAAAGCTTTATCCTTTTATTTTTTAAAGCCATTTCTTAAAGGAAAGAAACAAGGTAGCAGATTCTGATTTAATACACGTTTATAAAAATCACAGTAAAATCCTTTTCTCTCTCTTTATTACAACACATACATTATTGCTATGAATGTTCTGATAGTAGAATCTAGTTTTGACACATAATAAATATTACATAAAAATTGTCATATATTTATATTTTCAGCAATCCAATATATTATTACTCAACACATGATGGTATCACTATTGTATTGTTTGATTAAAAATTGCAACATCTATGAAAAATAATTTTAAAATATTTTGCTAATATTTCTCTTACGTGATAATTAGTAAATTAATCACTATTCATATGTCAGTAATCTTTCAGGATGAGCCAATCAAAGCTGCAACTTTAAATTACAAGTGATTGAATCAACATATGTTTGCAGTTTAAAATAAATAAATAAATTCAAAAAATCTTAAATAATAGATGGGTAAAAATATTTCTCATTGTTCCTTTAGCTTATAAATCATTACATACTGCAACAGTAAAGAAACACTTGAAACTGAAAACACGAAAATAGATACGATTTTTTTGTAGATGCTTTATATTTTGCCATGATGTTTTTTACAACTCCAGAGTTTTATCACTGCTTTTTTAATATCATGACATTTTTTCCTTACTTTTTTTTTATATTATAATATTTTATGCAATTATTTTTATCCCTAGTGCTCTTTTTGGCAGATTCCAGAGAAAAAGATCTTACAGAGCAACAAGATCTTGATTTTCAATGCTATTCAAACAATACATGCATAATATCTGAACAACGAAAGGTCTAAAGATGCTGTCAGCTAACATTGCAAGAACATTCACACTCCATCCCGAGTTCTAATACGTGTAACTCAATGGATGCAATTAGTTTTCAAAATATGTAACACATAAATCAGTTTCTATGAAAAAAAATCTTTACTAAAGCATTTATCCTCTTAGGCAGCTAGTTCTTGTTTGTTTTGCAATAATAATTCTTATGTGGAGTACTATCAGTGCCAAGAATCATCAGACAACGATATTTGAGTCCAAATAACGAAAGAATAGATAAAAATTAAGCAAAGAGTTACCAAACTTATGCTTCACCTTGCAGTGATTATTAAAATTAAATGCAAGAAATGTATTGCAAACTTTGAAAAATTAAAAAAAATTATTGTAATAAATGCTAAAGGAAACAAATCTGATGCTGCTATTTAAATGTATTGTTGCTGCTATTGCAGCAGACAAAGTCACTGCAAAGTATTGTGTATTATGTTATACTGTAATAAATTGATTTCCATCACCATTTTTCACAACTCTAATGCAACTGAATAGTTCAAATTTCATAATATGGTAACGAATTCATTTCCAATAACTTTGCTAACCAGGTATTTTCAACATAAAGGTGCTCTAATCTGTCAAAGCTGGGGCTAAATTTTTGCATTCTATGCAGCTATTGGAATATCATTAATTTGGGAGACAGAATGAAAAATTATTTCTTAATATATTATATCAAAATTAATGTCCAAATATATACGTAAATAATTAGTCCAAATGCATAATGAAGTATAAGATAACAAATCAGTTTGCTTACTTGCTGATAGATTTCTAATCGTCTACTCGTTAAATCCATAGTTTCCAGTAATTTCATATCATCCCTACCAATAGCAGCAGTTTTCTGTTTCATATTATCTGCCTACAAATAAGCAAAATTTTCAGAGTAATTGAAGATCTGTCATGGATTAAAAAACAGCCTATGCAAAACATATTAAGTTAGTCAAATATAATGAAATAAGTTTATTTCATCACTCACACAAAGAGATTCAATTCTCACAAATAAAAAGAACCAAGAAATAAAATATTTTCAACAATAAGTTTCATGAAAAATTTTCTTACCTCTAACAAACAGAAAATAATCGATGCAATTTTTTAAATTACAGTAAGACTAAGTTTAACATAACTTCAACAATTGTGGCCAATAATATCAAAATATGCATTCACACTAAACACTGTGTTATATTACTTTATTTCCATTTATCAAAAGGGTGCACTGAATAATTATGAAGCAGGCAGCCTACATCACCTGAACATCTAATTATTTCAGTCCAAGATATGGGATATTTTTAATACTTTTTAAAATTAATTCATAATAATAATTTTAAGGTTCCTTCAATATTTCTGATGCACTGTGAGAAATAAATTTCCTCAATTAATCCAAACATATTTGATTAAGGAAAGTAAACTGAATGTCAGGTTCTGCCTCACTAGACACTGAACTGAGACATCATATGAATTATATTTGGAGCTTCTTCATTGAGACAAAAAGATTTTGTAATTTAATAACTTTCTGTTTTTCTTAACTGAGTGATTAATAATTATACTGATACTTTATGAATTATTAACTTAAAATAATAAATTATAATTACTAACATATATGGAAATGCACAATTAAAGGGTAACTTGTAAAGGGGGAGGAGTACTTAATATATAAATATTGATTTAAAAAAGCTTCAAGTAAGTTTATATACTAATATGACACCAGAAATTTGAAAAAAACATAACCCGAACACAATGCAAATGAGACTACAAGTGAAAGAGGATTACCACAGATTAAAAAAAGAGGGCAAAAAATGACCTGTTCTACTTGGCCAATTGATGAAATTCAACTTGCGTTTTTCATGTGGCAAAACTGCAGCTTAGCATATATATATTAGATTTATATACACAACTATTCTAACATATGGTATTTTGGCACAAAATCTAACTTTTTCTGAAATGACATGCCAATTTTCTTCCATATTTTTATCCTACAACTCAAATTATGCTTAAAAATGAAATTTATAAAATTTTGTGAGAGACTTACCTAGTTATTCAAGAATATCATTTGGGGCACCTTTTTTGATTTTATACTATGAGTAATTTATTTGGTGAACTTCTCAGTTTATATCAACTTTACCTTTCATTCTGCACATGTAGGAAAAAAAAATGTTCTTTCTTGGAAATATTTTTATTTTATATTTTTAACCACAACTGTTATTTTTAGATAATTTCCTTTCCCGTTTTAGAATTTCATTATTTCAAATAATTGTTTTAAAAATTTCTATTTATTTATTTAGAGTGTTAACTTTTATGCATATTTATACACAAAAATATATTTGAGTTTTATTTTATTTGATTTGCATTTCTTTTGAATGAATACTTTGTGAACTAGTCTTCATCAAGATGCTCTTTGAAAACTGCATACTACATTGAAACAGAAAATACTGCAAAGCTGAAGTCTCAAAGCAGCAACCCCAAAGAAACTTTAAGTGTCCTGGGAATACATTTAATTATGTATTTGTTGCAGAATTTCAAGATTTTTAATTATTGAAGTCCAAGTTTACATTATTTTCATAACCATTAAAAACTAACATGAATGACACAGCACAAAATCTATAAATTAAGCTTACATTGTGATATACATTTTATTCGAAGATTTGAAGATACAGATTTTATTAACTTTTTTTAATTCATATTGTTAAAAAAAGTAAATATGTTCAGTTACAAATTTACACATTAAATGTATTCCTGAACAAAATTACACTTTGTTCAGGAATACATTTAAATGTGAACACTTTCTTCACACTTGAAAATTAATAACTGATTGACCAATGAGCATCTAAAATTCAATGAAGATAATTTTTAGTAATTCTTCTCCAAAGCATGGACATTATACAAACTTTTTAATTACACACAAAATTTATAATCATTTACATAAAACATATGCATTTTAATTCATATGTCAAAGAAAAGTTTTATAAATAACTAGGGACTAAACTGTCATGATTTATTTTAAAATTTTAACCACTTGAAAAGTTTTCACAATTTTTTCAAATTTAATTTAAATTAAAGTAGGTTATTTGATGATGAATTAAAATATTTGAATTATTTGAAATAAATGTCAATCTGAAATGTTAACCAAACTGTTAATATTGTAAATATATTTGAATTACAAAGCGTGCCCAACAAAAATGTCAATGTTTTGTAGGTACCAAATTTTAGATTTCAGATAGAAAATAAAAATACATTTCAATTTTTCCCCTTTATATTATTATTATTATTATTATTGCCTATGTATGTTTTGAAAATTTAGCTGGCACAATTAAAAATTTAGTTAAAATACTTTTTACTTTGCTGATAAAAAATTAAAAAAAAATACTAGTCATTGTGCTTCTTCCAGACGGCCCACATGTAAATGGAGTTTGAGACTACTGCTGTAAATCATGGTTAATACTTCTTTCAATGGGTGTTCAGGGGGGGGACATTTATATTAAAAATGTATAAAAACATTTTTAATATTGTGCCACTGCTATACAAAATTTTATCTTCTTACTTTTAGTTTGTTATGATATCATGCATATTTATGAGTAAGTTCAAATTTTACATTTTGTAAATCACAAGAATAAAATAGAATAACTCAAAAAAAGAAAAACTTCTCTTCTTAATGGCTTAATGATTTTCTTGCATATTCCGCATTCACAATCAACCTCCCTTCAAAATTAGCCATCTTTGGATCCTCTATTTATAATGCAACCATAACATTCTATAATGTAATTTATATACCCATTCAGGTGAAAAACAGTTGCCTTCATAGTCACCCGTGATGCTATTTCTTGTGTCTTTTCTTTTAGCACTTGCCAATTCAATGGAATATTTGATGTCTTACACCAAGGAAGTCAAACTCGTGGCCCACAACAAATATTTTTGCGGCCCAGCCAATATATCGGCAAATAATAATATATAAAAATAAAATAACATATAGACGAAGAAAAAAATGAAATGTTTACTGCTAAGTAATTAACGATAATTTATTCACTGTTGTTAGATTACTCACAGCGAGCTGACACACACACTACTTAAATTACAAATGCGTGTGAGTAGCTTGCGTTCAGCTACCTTCGGCTTTTGGGGGACACATGCACTCAGAACTTGTACGCATCCCCCGATAGCTGAATGTGGCCGAACTCATGATCTGTTTTCCAATCATAGTTTTGTACGATATATTGGTGCATGCATGTGCATGCACTTTGCTTTATTATTAATTATTACTTAATTCATATTGTTACGGATTTCATAGTTATTTATTTATTTAGTTTTTTTTTATTTAGAATTGTAATTAGATTTGCTTCATGTTGCCTTAGCAACGCAGACGATTTTTGAAAAGACAGCTGCGTTGGAAGGTTAAAAATAGAACAGCGCGTGCACTTAATACCTAATAAATAAATATGTCGTAATTGCTGTTGCCATCCACAAAAATCCAGATATTTATAGATGTTTCCAGTATATTCGAGAAATTAATTATAAAGCTTATAAAAGCCGAGAACAAACAACTCATCTCAGCAGTAGCTGTAGTTCTAGCAAACTGTTTGTTTACTTAATGCTGTGATTGATTTGTAGCGATTTCGCTGTGAGATAGAATTAGTTTCTCTGTTTTGAATTGATTTTTGCTAAATGTTTGACATTTTGTGATATTGTTAGAATATTTTTGAAGAAATATTTCAGCATTTTGATTTATCTCTTGTGGAAAGAATAAATTTTTGTTAACTTTTTAACGTTAACCGTGTTTATTCCAGCCCTTTGTATTCAGTATGTCTATATCAAAACCAAGTGGTAGTAAAATTAAACGAAAAATCGCTGACGAACATAGAATATTCCAAGTAAAATGGGAATTGGAATATTTTTGCTGTGAAATAAAAGATAAAATAATCTGCTTGATATGTAATAATACTATTAATGTACCAAAGTTATATAATATTAAACGTCATTACGAACAACACAAATCGAAATATAATGATTACGAAGGATTAACTCTTTCGCATCGAAATCGCCCGTAGCGCCCATTCATTCAGGCAACGGCAAACCGCCCCAACGCCTCGTTTATTTTTTACCTAGTTCTTTCCCCTCCACGTTAGTGTATGGCTCATTGGTTTCGCGAGTTGTTAGCTGTCCGAGTTGATAGCTAAACATTCGAAGCCTTTTACTGACGGTGATTTCATCAAGGAATGCCTAATGAAAGCTGGAGAAATTGTTTGTCTTGGAAATGTGAAGGCTTTTCAATCAATTTCATTGTCCCGAAATACAGTTGTGGAAAGAGTTACAGATTTAGCTGCGAATTTAAGTGATCAGATCAAAGCAAAATCATCTAGTTTCGAAAGTTTCCCCATTGCCTGTGACGAGAGCACAGGACATTAGTGGCAAAGCTCAATTAGCAGTGTTTCTTCTTCTTCGTTCTTGTGACAAGAATTTTAACATTTTTGAGGAATTACTGGAACTAATACCGATGCCTGGTACTACCACAGGAGAAGATATATTTACTTGTGTTTTTTGGACTTCTGCAGAAATACAATCTACCTTTGGCAAAATTAAATTCTGTAGCTACAGATGGCGCTCCATCAATGACCGGGAAAAACAAGGGCTTCGTAGCATTACTAAGGGAAAAACTCAGTGAAATTCACGGTTCAAACCTTCATGATATGCATTGTATTATACATCAAGAAGTTCTATGCAAGAAAGTAATAAATATGGAGAATGTTTTGTCATATATATAAAAAAGTTATAAATTTTATAAGATCTCGAGGTTTAAATCAGCATCAATTCACTGCTTTCTTAAGTGAGTTAGATAGTGAATGTTCAGGTTTGTCCTATGTTCAGGTTTGT